AATTTCGCATTAAGAGGACATGGGTGCCAGTGCGTAAGATGCAACCAATATGCGTTCTTTCATCGTAGCTTGGCAAATACGCAGTTTTTCCACCCGACGCCCGACGCAGCAGTCTCTCTCCACAACAGTTTCTGCTGCTGCCCCTCCGGCCAGGTGAGTGGGCTGCGCGGTCTTGTCGGCGGCGAGGAGGCGGCGGCGGCGGGAGGGGAGACAAGCCAGCAGCCGAGGGAGGAATTTTTATTTCTGAAGCAAAACTGCTCATGCATTTTATAAATCATATCCTTTGCAAGTGGCAAGAAGATTGGATGGAGAGGGGGTGGGAAGGCCGAGAGAAAGGCCGCGAGAGAGGGAAAAGGATGGAGAATGAGAGAGTGCGAGAGAGAGAGAGAGTGGTAGGAGAAAGGAGAGGTACAGGAGAGAGAGAGAGACCCCGCCCGCTCACTACCGCCGTCTGTCATGCAGCCCCGGCCCGCCGCTGAAATATGTGCCGGAGAGATTTTTTTACGCCAGGCATTCTCGAGTCATTTGTTTTGAAGACGCATTCCGACGGGGGGCCCCGGCGCGGGCCGCCCGGGAGCGAAGGCTAATTTTAGTACAGTGAGTGTGATGCAAATGAAAACTGAAATAACAGAGGCGGACCTTAGGCGAGCTCGGCATTGCTGCGGGGTGCAAGGTGTAGGCAGGAGGCTGCCCTGCCCTGTTTTTGTTGTTGTTTCGCGAGTTTTACCGCATCCCGGTGGCAGGTATAGGGTGGTGGCTGGTGGTGGAGGCAGAGGGTCAAAAGGCGGCTGCGGTGGGAAATAACAGTTAAACGGGACTTCAGAGACCGCAGTTAGGACAGTCGTTCTAAAACGCCCGCTGCTCTTCGCGTGCTGCTCGCTGAGTGATGGGGTGCGAGTGCACTTCGAGAGGCGGCGAGGACAGGCGAGTAGAGAAGTAAAGGGGGTACGGGTGGAGGGGGGGGGGGACTTATTTGTATTTTACGCGTTTAACAGTTATTTTACAAGCGGCTGAGTAGGATGGGTGCCAAGTCGGCGGCGTTGAAGTGATGGATGGATGGATGGATGGATGGATGAATGGATGGACGGGTGGGTGGATGGATGGATGAATGGATGGATGGATGGATAACTTTGAAACAGACCACTTGTGAGGGTTACAGGAAAATTTTAAATGAATGTGTTGTGAAATTACAGTTTAAAATTTGAAAAACTACAAGTACACTGTTAAAAATATTTGCGATTTTACAGATTAAGTCGTTAAAGTGGTACAGATAATGTGTAGTACTTTTACAGAGTGTAGTACTTTTCCTATAGTCTTCATGTAAAATTACTGCACTGGTAATTTTACAGAAGTTTTATAGTAAAATTACCGGTTGCCTGTAATTTTACCTTGTAAGTGTGGGAATTTTACCGATCGGCTGTAAAATTCATAGACTGTCTGTGATTTTACAGTTATATTTGGTCATTTTCCGGGAAACATGGAAAATTACCGTATAGTATTGTAAGTATGAAAAAAGATAAACCAGGTAAAAATGTATCCATCTTTCGTTGGGAATTTTTTTACGAAACATTTTAATTACCATAGATAGGCGTACATGGTACTTCCCTTTCACCATGAACTAGGCCGCACCAATATGCACCAAGTGCTGGAGCGCCTGCGTCATCGGCAAACACCACGCAGCCGTGCGGGGTGGGATGCCTACCTCTGGGGCGTCGAGGTGGTGTGTTATGGGGAGCGAAGGGCGGGGGAGGTCGGGCTTCGCTGAAGGGATCGAGCGCGAGCAACATGAATCAAACCAAATAAGAGTGTGAGTGTGTGTGTGTGGGGGGGGGGTATTTTTTGACCTGATTTTTTAACCAATGAGAATGGAATGGAAACAAGGAATACATTTTAAAATATTTTTATTCTAGAGCTAGTTGTAACACATATTAGAAACATGAATTAAATTAGAACACATTTTTACATACATGGCATCCAGAAGAAATCAAAATACTTACAAACATCGAGATATTTTCTTACTTCGTTAAACCCTTTTCGAAGTTGAAGATTGAAGAATCATATCTGTTTCTATTCTCATTCTCCTCCCCTTTCCCCCTCTCCTGCTTGGAGGCAGATGGAATAAAGCAGACGGTAGCGGCCAGCCAGCGCAGCCAGTGTCTCTCTCCATCTCCCCCCCCCCCATCACGTTCTGCATCGCGCGCTCCCCCCCCCCCCCCCCCCCTCCCTCAACCGCTCCGCACACCGCGCTCAGCTGGGCGAGCTCAGCAGCTGAGTTTGACCACTTTGACAGACGAGCCGACGGTGTGACCTTGCCAAGTACAGATCGTAAGTATACCAAATCAACATCTTTCTATTTTAAGAGGGTATAAATTTCAAGTATCAAGCCACTGCAATTTACTATCGCCACTACTACCTCATGTGAAAACAAATTTATGGCTGAGTAAATACTTTCATTGTCAGTTGTCTTTGTGCCTCTCACAGACCACATGGTTCAGAAGGTTAAGCTTTATGTTGTGGAATGAGGTGCAACTACCTATACCGAGTTCAAAGTTAATAGTTTTGAAAACTTCAGAGTTAATAATTGGCAGTTTCGGTTATGCTACTAAACAAAAATATTCATGTTCTCAACTCAGTGGGTTATCTCGGATTAAAGTATCTATTTTTGTTTTTCAGGTACTTGTGGTGTGGAGTTGACTCAGTACCAGTAACCCCTCCTCCAAGCAAAGGTTATCTATTTTTTTAATTATTTATACTTATGTTTTGACAATGACAATCACATGTGTAACATGCTCTGAAGAGTTGCCCAGTACTCCCAAGTACTTTTCACATCAATGGATTCATAGGCATACCCCCAATATTACGTTCCCATGTCCCTTTCCAAGCTGTGGCATGGTTTTATCTCGGTACAAGAACCTCATTGCTCATAAGCGAAGTCATATCAGGCGGCCCTTTTATGTTGTTAGACAAGATGAAGATACTACTTTTGCTAAGTGTACTTCCAGTGGCTGCTCTTTTATAGCTAGTTCACCCATCTTATTTTTAAATCATATGGAAACTCATATGAGATCAGGACAGAGTGCTTATTGTTTTTGTGGACATTACTGTAGAGCTCGGTCTACTCTAACAACACATTTTAAAAGAAAGCATTCAAAGCTAGTTTCAAATCATTCAAACCAAACATTTTTGGTTTGTGACCTAGAGCTTGGTGGTACTTCGGTTAATGCAGCTGAGTCTGCTGATACCTTTATGATGGATGTTTCTCATGAACCTACTGCTGTTCCTGATTTGGGCACTCCTGAAAGTGAAGTTGATGCTGTTTCAAGCGATGACTTTTTAAAATCCTTTGCCATGATGCTGTTAAGATTACAGTCAAAATCATTTTTGTCAGTAACAACGCTACAGTTTGTTATTGAGGCAATCAGGGGTATCAGTGACCATGCCTCTGATTACCAAAAAAAGAAATTTAGAATATTAGCAGACAAGTACAAGATTGAAGCCCATGTTAAAAATGCAATTGAAGAGGAAATATTTCAGAATTCTCTGCATGAAATGGCAGTTGGGGATAGAGGTGTCTTTCGTACTGACCACATGAGAAAAAAGTATTATCGACAAGAATTTGAGTTACTGGAACCTGTAGAGTATACACTGAACAATGGTGTTGACGTTCATAAATATCATTATGTGCCAGTATTGAAGTCTTTACAAAGTCTCTTAAAGGATAAGTCCATACAAAAACTTTACAATGAGAAAGGGGAAAGTAAGCCAAATATTTTGAGAGACTTTGAAGATGGGACTGCATTTAAATCAAATAAATTTTTTGTTGAATTTCCAAATGGCATTAAAATTATCTTATACTTGGATGCATTTGAGCCATGTGATGCCTTAAAGGCTGCACGAGGCAAAAACAAGACACTTGGTGTTTATATGGCTCTTGGCAACTTGCCATCATATTGCAGATCTCAAAGGGATCCTATTCAACTTGTCATGTTAGTAAAGGAGTCAACATTAAAAGATTTTAGCTATGAAGAAGTATTTGCCCCTCTATTTGAAGATCTTCAGACTCTTTATGATGTTGGCATACCTGTTTGTTTTGACGGTGTCCTTCAAACACTCAGAGGTTGTGTTGTTGGAATTAGCTCTGATAATCTTGAAGCGCATACTTTGGGTGGTTTCAACCAGACCTTCTCCTCTGTTGACTACTATTGTAGATTTTGCTATGCAAGAAAGGCACAACGTATTCGTGGGAATGTGGCTCTCTGTAAGGAAAGAACATGTGCCAACTATGATGCAGATGCCGAAGCAGCTGATGAAAATGACAAATCGGTCAGGGGTGTGTGGGAAAATTCTGTCTTCAATTGCATACCTAATTTTCACATTATAAATGGATTGCCGCCTTGTATCCACCATGACGTAGCAGAAGGGTTCCTTCCCATTGATTTGTTTAAGGCCTTAAAGGTCTTGGTAGAAAAGAATTGGTTCTCTTGGGCGTACATTAATGCCATGATCAAAATTGTCAACAGAGGTTCCTCGTATGCTATACGGCAGATAAAGCCAAAAACTAAAAAAATTGTCGGTTCTGCTAGCAGCAATATGCACCTTCTCCATATTATAACCCTTGCTCTGGTTGAGAAAGTAAAAGATCCAACTGAAAGGGCATGGCAGATGATTGTAACATTGCAAGAATTTATGGCGCTTGTGTGTGCCCCTGTAATTTCAATAGGACAGACATTTTTAATTGATGAGTTGGCAGAAAAGTATATGTCATTAAGAAAAGAAGTTTTTCCCAACATACCTGCTAAGTGTAAGCATCACTATGCTTTACACTTCGGTGCCCTCTCAAGGAAATTTGGACCCCTGTTCAGATGGAGCACGATTCGATTTGAATCAAAGCACCAATATTTCAAGTCTGCTGCTAATAGCACCAATAATTTTATTAATCCAACATTCTCTCTTGCTGCTCGTCACCAGTTCCTCCAAGCATATTTGAGAGAAGGTAATATTTTTGCAACAGTGGTACAGGCTGGCGCTGTTCATCCATTTAAAAAGGAGTTATATTCACAAGAGCTTATTAATGGCTTAGATGCCTGTGGTGCTCTCTCTCAAGCCCCATTTTCAAGTTCAGTAGCTGAGTATCATGGAGTGAAATATGCTGTGGGAGACCTTTTAATGGTTAAACCAAATGATGACAGAACAATTTCAAGTATTTTAGTTGACATGGTTATAATAACTGCAAACTTCACAAACCTTGTTTTTGTTGGCACCGAGAAGATCATCAAATATCATCAGTACTTTGGAGTTTACGAAGTACTTGAGTCCTCCAACAAAGATCTACTGATTTTCCCAGCAGACAAGATTGCGAGTCCAGATCCATTGGTTCTGAAAACTGTTGGCAAACATTCATTCACATATTTAAAACATACTATTATGGTCCAATTTTAACTACTTTTAGCTACTGAGTATGTGGGATTTAGAAATGTTAATACATATGTTTTACATTGACTCCTATATTATCATTACTTCAGGAGATTTTTACTTTTCTTATTTTTACATTTAATGTGCACCAATTTATAAAATGACAGTTGTTTGTCAACAATTCTGGACTGAATAAATAAAATATTTTAACTGAATCTTAACTGACTTTTTCCTTTGTTATAGATGCCCGCTTACAAGGTATGGTGTGACCAGAGACAGAAAAAGAAATGTATACTTGCAGACTCCACCATCAACAGCCTTCTTGCGAAAGGTATGACTTGCAGTCAATCATTACCAAATACAAAACAAACTACTCGTATTACTATTTATAATAAAAATATCTTCTGTTTCAGTGAAGGACAAATTTCTTTTGACTGAGGCCCAATCCGTCCAAGTAGTGTTAGAGGAAGATGGCACCGAAGTGGATGATGATGAGTGTCTGGAAGCATTCAAGGACAAAGTTTTAATGGTCCTGGTCGACAATGCAGTATGGGTGTCATCACGACATGAGATATCTCCAATATCTTCCTCACCAGAAAGCCATAGTTCCACTGAGATTTCAAGTGACTCACATCAAAGTTCACATCGTAAATCCTCTTCAGCCAGCACCACAGCAGACTCTAGCACCGACTGGGGCGAAACATTTGAAATACCGTGGAGTAAAGTGGGTACTGTTCTTTTGACGAAGCTGGAAAGAAGCATTGGAAGAGAAAAGGAACCTGAAATGAAGTTGTTAAAAACAGAAATTAATGAAATTATTAGAAATCTTGTTCCTGAAATAAGAGTTATAAGCAAGAATCCAAGAAGAGAATCTTTGCGTTCAATAGCAGAAAATATGATTGCTAAATATCGTGTGTTGGCTGATCTAGATGATGAGGGAAAAATAATTGGTTCAGGGATAGGGACAATAGCTGTAAAGATGGAAGAGCATAACAATTATTTAAATCGGCCATCCAAAAATGCCAGCCTGTTATCTTTAATTTGTTCTCCTACTGGTGCTGATGGAAGAAGAAAGAGAAAAAAAGATAAGAAGAGTGCACAGAGCGGAACAGTAGAATGGCAGCCAGAGTATCCTGCCTTTGAAGATGAAAAGACACAGATTGAAAAGAAGAAATGGCTTATCAATGAGGCAAGAAAAAGTGCAAAAGAAAGAGATGCTGATAAAGTTCTGAATTTCATGGAATCAACATACGCAACCCAAAGATTACTGTTGAATTCTGACAATGCCTCAGTTTCCGATTTGCAAAAAGAGTGGCCACTACTTCTGGAAAGCGTTTATTTATTCAAGCACTGTGAAAGACTTGTACTTGGATTCCGTCCAGATTTTAACTATTGGTGCTCAGAAAAATTAAAGAGAATTATTTCCTTCATGGAAGAAGCCATAACAGTTGAGAAGGCAAAAGCAATACTAGAGGTTAATCCTGAACTGAAAGCTGTTAAAATGAAACAAGCTGATGATGGGTCTGCAATATTAAGTGCAGCCAAAAATAGTGAGGTTGTTGGAGCAGTGAAACTAATAATGCACAAATTTAGTGAGAATAAAGGATGCAAATTATTATTTGTGCACAAAGAGGTAAGCCTTTACTGCAGAGATCCTGCTTTACTGTTGCCTTGGTCCAGCCAGATTGAAAAATAATTTTCTCTTTGTTTACACCATTCAGGAAGGAGCCACAAGAGATGAAGTGCTGGCCGCTCCCAGAAGTCCTGCTCCTTGCATTGTTGTTGTTGGTGAGTTCCGTTTTCTTTCTGCATTCATCCTGTTAAATGAAAGCTTATTTACTTAATTTGTTTTAAGAATAATGTCACATTAAGCTTAGTGACTAACTATGTAATTTCTTTTCCAGGGAGAAGTGAATATGAAGGCACAACCCATTACGTAGTTGCTGAAAATACCATTGTTAGTGCGCATTCCAATGCTTCTGATGCTGTAACTGTTGCCTACTGCTTCATATACCTCTTCAATATGAAGTACCCATCGCAAATAGGATACACCTGGGAGTTCATTCAAAGATACATCTTCAAAAATGATCCTAAAGAATCCCAAGGTTCGAAAAACCCCAAAAGAAGAGCAACGTATATCAGCATCAGTGCACCAGTCAACACCTTTATACGTCAGCTAGGGAGGCACAAAACCATTGAACCTGCAGAAGACGAAGAGCAATTGTAAGTGATTAAGTAATCTTTGTACATATTTATTTTTGACTATCTTTTCATGATTGTTCTTTAATGGCATTTCTCATGCTAAAGTGATATTTAAAGTTAGAAAACCCTATATCTATTTGATTAATAATACTTTCTCTTTAAAGTTGCACAAACTCTTTCTCTATTTCATTGTAAATATATTTTGTAAGAGTTTAAGTGCTAACTTATACTTAGTATTTTGATTAGACTCCTAACCTTTGAGACTTTGCTAGCTATTTCCAGATATGTTGCACAAACTCTTTCTTTATTTCATTGTAAATATATTTTAAGAAGCCTTAGTGCTAACTTATCCTTGGTTTTTAATGAGACTCCATCTTAAGAGACTTTGCAAACTACTGTATTTCCAGATATGATGCACAAACTCTTTCTTTATTTCATTGTAAATATATTTTAAGAAGCTTTAGTGCTAACTTATCCTTGGTTTTTT